GGGGTATGTTACGCCTCAGGGCGTTTCTTCCATCTTCAGTGTACGATTGATACCTTTCCTTATTTGGCCTTGGCTAAGAGCCTGCTAGGATATACTGAGCCCGAGGGGGATCCTAATTGGTCGTCCACGACCCTGATCTTTGATTGATATCAGTTGTGGACATCCAACCAAGTCACGGCGGGATATTCTATCATGTTCTGCTTTAGTTGCTTTGACGCCACCAAAATTCGCTCGTTCAAACCTTGGGTGAAGGCCTGCACTGCCCAGTCGTCAAAGACTGGCGGTAATTCTATTCGCTCCATTTGAAAACGAGATACAAACTCCCACGACATCTCGTTTTCTCTTTGTTTAATCTTGAAGACGTCGGGTTTTCTTGTAGCGACCTTAATGGCGCGGCGTGTGCCTTTATAAAAGAATCTGCCAGCATGGTAAATGAATCTATTGAATTCGGGGCTAGGTTGTGATACTACATCTTGGCCCCTTTTGAAAGTGTTTCTCCGAATTTCTTCAATAGGACGGATTCAATCTCGTCGTCCTTAAGGTCATTCCCCTTTACAGCACACGTATAAGCAGTGATGTGCTCGTTGGGGTCCGAGGTTCCGTTGTATTTCGGGAGATCATGCATTCTGAATTTCTTCGGGATGGGCTTTGGAGTGGCATTTGACGGGAATGGGTTTTGTACAAATTTCTTTGAATCCACACCTTTTAGGATCGGGGGTGCGCCTGGGATCTGATCGACGCTTGAATTATAGGTCTCCACCTTTTTGTCATTGGCTTCTATCTTCTTTTCGCCCGAGTCAATCCTCTTCATGAGGTCCTCGAGCATCTATATGATGGCGGGATCGGCTGCTGACCCATTATTGCTTGATATTTCTAGTACTTGTTCGGTTCGGGGAGCCGTTTCGGTGCTGCTGTGCTCGAAGTTTTTTGGTGGCTCTGCATTTGAGCGATCGCCAGCTGTTATTCCTGCAACATCTCAAAAATGACATGAAGGCTAACCTATCGTTCCTCCCGAGCTGGGATTTTCTGAACTTCTTATTGGTTCTCTTGGCGTATACTCTTGTCAGTGTGGGAGCTTATGTCGACGTGTTGGGTATTGCGCGAGACCACGTCTACGGGAACCGGTTCTGGTGCGTCCTCAGGGTTTCGCGGTGGTACACCGACACCTGAAACAACTACACCATTCTCTGCATGGTCCTCAGGACCGTTGTCCTCATGTGCATCCACTGAGTTGACATTTTGACTTGAAATCAAAGATTCTTGGACAAGAAAAAGCATGAAAGATAGCTTGCGTTATGTAGTAAACCAGCAAGAAAACAATCACTATTATTTTTAGCCACACGGTGGGCGCCAAATTGTTTACCTTGAAAATGGTAATTGCAATTAGATTTGATTTTATGGTTCTAAAAATACGTAATTTATTTTATGCTAGTTGTTATGCAGTAGATGCTAAGTGTGAGACTAGAAAATAAGATAAGAGCTTGAAGGTAATGTGTCAAGCAAACCAAGTGGCTGAGGATCGGGGCCTCGAGTTCTAACTAGGCGTTAGGCTCTTAATAGTCGCTGGAGAACTAACCACTCTGTGGGCCTTGATGAGGGTTTTTTATGATCAATGATGAGTAATAAATGAAGATGAATATAATAAATGTAAGTAATAAGATCAAAGGAGAATATATCTGTCACGACCCAATTTCATTACAGGTCGTGATGGGCCAGGCAAGCCAACGCGAAAATATTAGTGAGTACTCACTTTACTTTACCAAACAATTTCTAGCATTTTCTTAACTTGAATTTAAAACAAGTGATATTTAGCAGCGTAAAGTAATAGTTATGCAACCCAAAAGAATAGTCTACCAATGTGTGTGCCAAGATTTGGTGTCACAAGTATAGGGGCATTTAGTAGAATATACAAAAGAATAAACCTATCCTACTGTCTGAAACAGAATAGACAGTCAAAACAAAGAGAGACTCCATCATGCTGCTGAACGCCATAGGAAGGGAGCAGCTCACCGTGGAATCTCGGCCTACTATCAAGGATGCGCACCAGACAGGTAGCCAGATGTACCTGCCTTAGATCCTGTACAATTAAGTACAGAAGCGTAGTATGAGTACATAAATAATATGTACCTAGTAAGTATCCCGTCTAATCTCGAAGAAGTAGTGACGGGAGGTCGACTTGACAGTTACTAGGGTCAAATAATATAAGAAAGTGTTATGCTAAGCATGAATGTCACAATTAAATAACAATTTATAGCAAGAAGTGATGGGTTCTTTCTTAGATAATATCACAAAGAGCCATTTACATTTTGGGGCATTTAACACAGTTCAAATCACAGAAAATACCGAGCAAGAAGCATGCGCAAATAGTGCCGAGGGCGTACGGCCCGTTCCAACATAAAAATAAAGTGTGCACTGCCGGGGAGTCGAACGGCGCGAACCATAGATGCATCTATTACCCCGCTCGCGAATCACCCATGCGACGCGGTCAAATTTAAATAAACACAACAAACAGTCAGGCAGGAATATATCAGGGAAACAATTGCTCAAAGAATGTCAACTTCCCTTTACACGGTCAAGAAAATGATGTTCCTCTTTATAATTCAGTTACCACATTCAACATGACTTAAGCAATCTAGATTAACAATAAAGTTGCAAGAATAGCACATAAAGCATACTTTTGGGTCCTAGACTACCCGGACTTAAGCATAATAGTGGTTACATACGGACTCTCGTCACCTCGTGCGTACGTAGCCCCCACATTGAGTGGCGAATTATTCAATTATTACACCTATGGGGACAATTCCCTCTTATAAGGTTAGAAAGGAGACTCACATCGCTCCAAAGCTTACTTCCAATATCAAGAACGTGCTCAAACCCTCAATTTGGATTCGAACAATCCAAAACTAATTAAACGAGGTAGGAACTAGTCAATACAAGCTCAAGATTTCGCATTCTAACTATTGAAGGAATTTCCCAACCCTAAACACAAGTTTCCTAAAATCCACCTCCGGGCCACGTGCCCGGATTCTGGAGATTTTTGAAGAAAGTTGTTCTTTATAACCTAAGGATCAAGAATATATAATTTCTACTTTATTCCATAACAAATTTCGTGGTTAAATCTTGTTTTTATCAAAACCCTAGGTTTTACTCTATTCCCATGATTTTTTACTAATCTTTATGTGTTAATCTAACTAAAACCCAAGTATTAAACTCACAATAAGTAGAAATAACTTACCTCAAGATGCTAGGTGAAAATCTTCTCTCAAGAGCCCCAAAATCGCCCAACTTATGAGTGGAAATGAGCCAAAAATGGCTAACACCCGTAATAAATGAAGGTCACTGCTTCAGTGATTTCCGCATCTGCGATCTTGGGCCGCACCTGCAACCACCGCATTTGCGGAAAAGAGTTCGCTTCTGCGGAATTTTTGCTGGCCCGTTGGGCCGCTTCTGCAGGAAGCAAACCGCTTATGCGGATGCGCTTCTTCAGAAGGTAAGTCGCTTCTGCGCCTTTTGGCTTGGCCTACCTTGGCCGCTTCTGCAAGGGCTCGGCCGCTTCTCCGGTCTCGCTCCTCCAGCTGACCAACCGCAGGTACAGTTATGACAGATAACTGGAGCTGCTCCTTTCCAAATTTTCCAACTTCACTCGAGCCTCGTCTGATTGACGCTCGGGGCCCCCGGGCCCCAACCGAACATACCGACAAGTTTAAAATCATAAAAAGGACTCGCTCGAACCCTCGGAACGCCCGAAACAATGCTAAATCTAGGAATCACCCCTAAAACCAATTGAATCAAACTTATGAACTTCAAGATCTTCAATTTACTTCCAATGCGACGAAACACACTTACACTACTCGGATTGACACAAAATTTTGCGTGCAAGTCTTAAATGGAAATACGGAACTATTTTCGGTCTCGGAACTCCGTTTAGACCTCGATAACTCAAAAGCTCGCTCCAAACCAAATATTTAAGAACTTCAAAATTCCTAAGGAATCAACTTTCACTATTAGGCACCAAAACGCTCCGGGGTCATCCAAAACCCGAGCCGGACATACGCCCAAGTCCGAAATTATCATACGAACCTATTGGAATATTCAAATCCGGATTCCGAGGTCGTTTACTCAAAACGTTGACCGAAGTAAAACTTGGCCCTTTAAGCCAACCTTAAGGAACCAAGTGTTCCGATTTCAACCCAAACTCTTTCAAATCTACCAACCATTCCCGCAAGTAATAAATCAATAAAAATAAGTACGGGAAGTCTTATATAGGGGAACGGAGTTCTAAAAAGCAAAATGACCAGTCGGGTCGTTACAATATCTAAGTTAGAGAGCAGAGAATGTTCTTGTTCTTGTATTCAATGTTGAGTGCTATATCCTTTACAAAATGACAAGGATCCCCTTTATATATGAGGGGAAATCCCAAGGTGGTACAGATGCATTTATTACAAAGATACACGCCTGATACAGCCATTTAATGCCACAGTACGGGCTTGTACTAGCCTAATAGACTTGGTCAGCTTTAATCACGTGCCTTGGGAATTTCCCGTTTTGTCATCATAACCACCGATTTGTACTGCCCCGAGATCATGCACTGAGAACCCTTGGAGTCGAATCTAGAGCTGAGCCTCGATCCTTATGCAATAGCTTGAAGTAAAATTCATGTAGAAGCACAAATTTTGACCTCCAAATACTCTTTTCAACATCTCAAAAAAAAAAAAATTAAGTTAACTGTTAACCCCAATATTGTCGAAGCAGCTACTTAAGCAATAGCTTGAAGCTAGACCGGGTCCAGACTTTAGGCCCGGATCATTCGCGGGTCCAGAAGAAATAATAGGGCACAGTCCGCTCCATGGACGATAACACGTGTTACTGTTTGATTGGAAGCTCCCAAAATTGCTGACTTCGTATGCTCGTCGAACCCAATCACAACTTAACACCTCACATTCACAAGGGCCACATATAGCCACCACCCTGAACCCTCAAGCCCTCTTTCTCTTCTTTCCGTTTCCCCCCCACCCCCCCACCCGTGTCTGTTTGTTCCTGCGAATCTTCACAACGTGGATTCATTTCCTTATAAATTAAATTTTGAGTAAGTTTCCTTGTTTCCGATTCTTTACTTTTTATTCCTTTTATTTAGGAGAAAAGCGCACAAAGTTTGAATTTTACCGAAAATTTTGCTTTTTTTGCCCCCTGGGTATTGAGTCCCAGAGAATAATTTCAGAATTTTGGTGGTGGGTATTGGATGAACATGGATTTTATGTTATGTGAACTTCCCTTGTATTTGGGTGTTTTTCTTTTTCAGTTTTGAGTTGGGGGTTGATGTTCAGGCTGAAATATCTAACTTTCATGTGTACCATAACATTTTTACTTGGGACAGCGTTAATTATGAATTGGCTTTTGAATTAGTTATGTAATGGGTTAAACAGATTTTATATGCTAAGCTTGAATTATTATATCATCAAAAAGATTGAATTTTTTGCACGAGTAGCTCTTTTAACTGTTGAATAAGTGTGTTAGAGGATTCCTAGTTTTAAGAACCCCTAATAGAGTGGAATGGATATTAAGGATCTATATGCCAAGACCAATTAGTTTGAGATTGAGGCGTAGTTGTTGTTTTTGTTATGTATAAGCAGTAGTGAGTGTTTAGTTGCGGTTCATCCTTCAATCTATATCATTTTGACAAGGATTTTGTTGCTGCAAAAGCACGATTTTTGACCTGCTTCTTATTGCATTCATATTGACGGTATGTCATGAGACAAACTGGGGCTGTGACCAACATTAGGTGATTTAGATTCAACTAGTGAACCATTCAAGCTGCAGAATTTCGGTAGAATCTTCCCTAAAATTGGGCTAACACCACCTCCAAACCTGTTCCAACCTCCCATACTCCATCCAAACAATTCATTCACGCATCAGTAACCACATTTACATAACTAAAAGAACTAAAACCAGTCTCGAAAACAAACTTTACCTTGTCCAAACTCCAAAAGAAAAAAAATTGCAATACTCAATACTCGTTCTTACTTGTCTAAAAACACTTCCATAGGTAGCACGCTTAAGAACATCAAAACTGAAATATTTGTGCTAAGTTTAGGCCCTTTTCAGGATCTAATACATAGAGTTGTATCTATTGTTCAAACTGCAAATCATAATCTTTACTCTAATGTGGACATCCTTCAGTGTGGAGTATTTACTCTCTGTTTTAAGTTTTTCTATGTCTATAAACAAATTACTGACGCAATTGATGCAACAGTGGACTTTGTGGTTGATGATCACATCATAGGTGAGGAGGAAGAGGGCACGGTGGTAGAAGTCAGGGCAGTAGATGAAAATGCAGTTAGAGGAAGTTCCAGTGAGGAGGCACTTCACGACGTGCATGATGTCAAGGTAGATGAAGACCTTTCTGATAGGGAGGTCGTTCCATTAGAAGAATCACAATCACTAGGTAATTCAATTTCAGATGAACCCTATGTTGGCCAGGAGTTTGAATCTGAAGCAGCAGCACATGCATTTTATAATGCATATGCAACAAGAGTGGGTTTCATCATCCGGGTTAGCAAGCTTTCGCGATCTAGGCGTGATGGCTCTGCTATTGGTCGAGCACTAGTTTGCAACAAGGAGGGCTTTAGAATGCCTGATAAGCGGGAAAAGATAGTGCGACAAAGAGCAGAGACTAGGGTTGGTTGCAGAGCAATGATATTAGTTAGAAAAGTTAGCTCCGGGAAGTGGGTTGTCACAAAATTTGTCAAGGAGCACACTCATCCATTAAGCCCAGGCAAAGGTCGTAGGGACTTGATCTATGATCAATATCCGGTTAGTTTCCTGCCTTATAGTTACTAAGGATTTCTAACATAAGCTGTCCTACTTTCTTTCTGTATTTGTTTCTTTCTTCATTGCTGCTATTCAACTTCTTGACCGTATCATCATATTATTACCTTTGATTATACATCTTCTGTTTCTACCCTTTTGATGGAACTTGAAATTTTAATGAGGCAATGGTCTATATTTATATGTATCTATGTATATAATATTCATTTAAAGTATTGGAAAACTATGATATTGTATGATATAGACTGGGTAAAAGAGATATTTAAGGTGAATTTATATATAGTTGTTTTAGTTCAATGACTTCAATGGATAGTAACATTTGTATATGTATATTTGTTACACATATCTCAAGACCTGCATCTGTACTCTTTCTGTACCCATGAATTATAAGATTTAGACGATGACAAATCCAACATCTAGAATCCATACTAGATATCATTGGAATCCATATAAGATGAACAATGACATTTTTTTTTGAACTGTAAATATGGCTACCAGCACAACCTTCGTGCTGAAGATTTGTAGGTTACCTTTCCCCCAAAAAAAAAAAAAAAAGGGAAAAACTTGTAACTGTGATCTTATAAGCTGCTTTGGTCTTATTTGCATATTTCTAACGCTACTTTGTTATATAAGTCAATGATTTCATCAATATACACTAAGTTGGTGTCAATATACAATGTGTGTTTACATTCCACTTCCTCACCATTTTCCTCGCAAAGGAAACACCAGCCAAACATTATCCTTCCCCTTCTCAAATTTTTTACTGTTAGCATGAAATGCTACTTTCTTAGGTGCCTTTATATTAAATGAGTTAATCAATCTATACTTTTGGACAAAGATATAAACGATAGCTCCATTTCGGTTCAAAACTTATGGTTACGAGAACCTATGATACTCGGATATGGGTATGGGCACCCGATACGGGTGCGGATCTTGGATTCATCATCACCTAAACCTTAGGATTCAGGATACGAGTAGGAGTATAGGTACGGATGTTAAGATAAAACCAATATTTGTATATTACTATATATGTATACATTGCAAACAATTAACAGAAGTTATTAAATAAAAGTTACTATAATTAAAATTCTTTTTAAATACTTAATTATAGTAGCAGAGTGTTTTACCACTTTATGTGAACTATAATCTTTGTGACATAAACTCAAAATCAAACCCAACACCCAATTAACCCAAGGTTCCTTGCTACACTCTATAGATGTTTCTTGGCCATGGGTGTTGTCAAAGCACCCAAGTTAGGCTGACCAGATCCAGTGCGGATCCCACACCCATATCATGTCGGATTGACACAGCTGCAGTAAGGGATTTGAAGGCAACATACACGAGAAGAAAATTTTGAAGAGATCAAAAAAGGAACAATGGAATTCGTACCTTACATCAACTTCTTTCTTGGTGAGGAAGGGGTATCGTAGCTTTTTGATCACATCGAGCGATGCCATGTCGTAAATAGTTGCCCAGTTTGCTTTGGTTATGGCCCCATTCACTATCCTGCTCACAGTGAGCTAAAGTTTAAACAGGGATCACTATTTAGTTTATGAGACATTCAGTAAGAAAAAATCATTACTATAAAAAATGGAGAAATTTGGTAAGAGGTATCCTTCTCTGTCGTTTTGACTATTGATTATTCTATATATGTGATTCCATCTTTCCATTTTGGGAATTGTGTTGTAAAAAATGATGCTTTGTTAATTGTGCCAATGGTTATTCAGTTAAGTTTTTTTGAGAATCCATAAACTGTTTTCGCCGGTGTCTTTGTGAACAGGGTATATATTGATAAGTCACTTTATCCTTGGATTTCCACATCATTTACGTTGATGTTAGATGACCTTGAAACATAATCCTTTTTGGCTCTTTTTGATATGTTGAGAAACAATGTTTATAGACGTCATGAGGTTTGTATTTTTGGCTGGAACTTGGGGGTCGTTTGGTAGGAGGTCTTAGAAAAAATAATGCAAGCATTAGCTCTGTGCATTACTAATACCTTGTTTGGTATATTTTTTCAACATGTGTATAACTAGTACTTGTATTAGTTATACATCATACTTGGTATTATCCTATGTATAAGTAATGCATAGAAAACCACTAGTAACACCAAGGCTATTAATGCATGCATTAGTATGGTTAAAGACAAAAGTATCCTTAAGTCCCTTAAAGCTAGAGAATATAGAGGGCATTTTTGTAAACAACTATTTTTCTTAAAAATTATGAATGCATTATAATTTTTAATACAACACACCAGACAGTAGATAAGAAATAATATCTGCATAACTAATGCTTGCACTACTAACCCATGCATGGCTAATACACCTTTCTTATGCACCCTACCAAACGACCCCTTAAAGTACAGATTAAGCAAAAAGATCAGATTCAAATTCAGAAACGTTATCTCAAATACTAAAAATACTTAGTGATGGTAAATCTGTCATTAAATACAAATTATTGTCATTGCGAGCGCACTTACACTAGATCACTAGATCATTCAAATTGGAGTGGGGGTGGGTTTGGGTGGGTATTCTTAAATAACAGTAGAGCTGGCAAAATATGTTGGTTAATATTGGGATTAATTGCTGAATTAACCAACGTTCTATAATCGACTTATCGATTGCCGCTTATAGCAATACTTTAAAATTATTGTCTTTGTCTGTTGATGCATGTAAAACTTAGATTTTATGCTTCATGTTCATCTTCAAGGAACTACCTTTATATGACTTCAGTTAACTCTTGTTTTGGTTTCTCAACTTCTTCCTGTAGAATGAGCATGACAAAATCCGGGAGCTATCTCAACAACTGGCAGCTGAGAAAAAGAGATCTGCAACATATAAGAGGCATTTGGAAATGATTTTCGAGCACATCGAGGAGCACAACCAATCTCTGTCCAAGAAGATCCAAGATATTGTACACAATGTAAGGGAGATGGAGTCTAGAGATCAACACCATCATAGATAGTTTTAGCATGATTTGCCTTTGTTGATATTAGAGTAGAGAATAGCAGAGTGTAGAACCTAAGTTAAGTAAAGATCATAATGACTTCTATCTTGGCTTACCTTTTTTCCCCCTCTTATTCTTCGAGAAGATCATGAAATTATGGAACCAGTTCATATCTCGTTTTCGATTTTTTTTTTTTTCCCATTTTCCTTTTTGGGTAGAATTGTGGAATTGTAGGAGCAACAGGTACAGAATGTCTCTTTCTGGTGCAGCCATTGTAACATTCTTTTGGGAGGTTGGATGTCTCTGCGAACGAACTTTTTTCCATTTTGTAAAATTTTCAAGTCCATTTCATTAGGTCTTTCCAGTTCATGTAGATTCAGTGAACTGTATTTCAGCTTTCATTTCTGTAATTCTTTCAAGATTCAATGATTACTTTGAGACATACTCTGGAGTTGGAAATACTGGAAACAAAAAGAGAAAGAGAATGGTATTCAAGTGGAGTTGTTTCTTTGAGTTGTGTGAGGAATTGACATCTATCTATCTATATGTTAATATAAAGGACGGAATATGAATGCCTATGTGGCACCTCTCTTAGGTTTGGAAAGGTATTTATCTTTTTTGTCATTTTTTTGCTCTTTTCTCTGGGTTATCTACTTTAAATATCTATTTTATTGTAACCGTTCCAATTTCCAACAATTCAGCTAATGAAAATATACAGAGTTCAGTTACAACGATAGGATTAAAATTAGAATAGGTTATCGTTAACCTTGAATTTTCTTTCAATTTTAGCACGGTATTCCAGTTACAGTTCCATACTCCCTTTAATTCCCATTTCCTATTCAAATTCCTTACATAAGTTTTCAAGTTACAAAGTACAAACCAACCTTCTTTTATCCCTGACCCATCTTCCCTTTTTGCTTATCTCATCTCAAATCCTTTACTGACCAATTCTTTCTTCCAAAATTTCTTCATTGGCCATGGTGAGCAGCCTTATGTTATTAAGTTGCATGCCATTTTCATCTCTCTTTGTGTTATCCATATTAGTCTGCTTTCTTGGTGTGAATAATTACCCGGATCACTAAAAAGGAAAATGTTTACGAAAGTTATTCAACAATCCATTTTTCCTTTGAGGTTAATAATTTTCTTTATGAAGTTGAAATTTATATTACTGATATTAATGCTTTAACTTACTAATTTTGAAGATTTCATTAGCTTTGGTAGTTGGCTTAATTACTTTTGGTTTTGGAAAATATAATGTATTATTATAGAGAAATAATATGATTGTTTGTTAGTAGTTTTATTAAAGTTTGCTTTTGACTTTGGAGCAAGAATACATGATATTTCATTGGTATTTTAGTTTATTTACGGTAATTCTGTCTGTCTCTATTAATATTTTGTCAGTATTGTAGTTTTTTCATGATGTTTTGGCCAATTATTATTGAGGTTATTCATATTCATCTTTTAATTTTACGTTCTGATATATCTTTTACCAGAAGGCCAAGTAATTTTCTTGAAAACCCTTCATAGATAAGGTATGAAGATTGTGCATTTTTCCTGCTCTATTATCTTTGGGGTGTTCCGAATAAATAAATTTTTGTTTGCAAATTGATTAATGCGGAAAACACAAACTTTTGGTTTGACATTTTTGTGGTTAAAATCATGGTATAGCCAGTTTTCACACTGGTTAATGAAAAATAGCTAGCGTTTATCAAGTCAATGAAAAATAGCCACTATTTTGCTGCAACAGGGACCGGTCCAGTATAATATACGGGAGTTCTGGTGCATTTGTGTACGAACTCCAGCATATTATGCTGGACCGGTATACTTTGCTAACTCCTGTAAAATTTGCGGGAGACTGGAGCACAGTGCTCCAAACTCCAGTATATTATACTGGACAATTATACTTGCTGGAACTCCCGTAAAATTTGCGGGAGTTCCAGCATAGTTATCTTGGAACTCCCGTAAAGTTTACGGGAGTTCAAGCATACTTATGCTGGAACTCCCGTAAAATTTGCGGGCGTATTTTTCCGGATTTTGAACAGTGTTTTCGCTCAAATTTAAAGTGGCTAAATTTCGATGACTTTTGAAACTTGGTTATTTTTCAACGACCAGTGGTAAATCTGGCTATTTTTGAATTTCGCCCATTTTTGTGTTGTGTCATCGCATCAACTTCTTTTTATTTCACTTAGTTATATTTTGGTTAGACTTTTTCGCTTAGTTAGTGAAATTTTTAGTTTACTAAAGTACCTTGATGTTATACTATGAAAAAAAAAGCTTAATATATCCTAATTGAAAACGTCTAATTTATTTATTATAAGATTAAAGTATTAGAAATATATTATTTTATAAATTCAATTTTTGAAATGCTTAAATTAGTATCATTATGTTTTATTTCTGACGCCTTTTTATTTTCTAATATGATAGCCTCAGTCCTCCTCGAGGCTTTCAACTCTATCAAGACTAGATTTAGAACTTAGTCCTCCACGAGGGTTTCAGCTCCAGTCATCCATTTCTCATAGTAATAATTCTTTTCGCTCAGAAAATAGTAGGAAAGATTGATGTACAAAATGCCAAAGTATTTTGCTTGGTCCCATTGTCACTTGTGCAAAAACTAATTGACAAAGCTGATGTTTTCCGGATGACTTACTGTGAACTAAGTACTATTTTTCATAGTTTTTGTCAATAAGGTAATTATCTCTATTGCAATAGGGAAATAGAGCATCTTTTTTTTTTTTCTTCCCATTTTTCTACAATTTTGAGGAAATGTTGTAATACCTGCTTGCTATATTATTCTCTCAAATTCGACCAACTGTATATGCCATCTTTTGTACGATTTTCAATATTCTTTGTGTTGTTTTCTAACTTGTGATTTTTCTAGATGGTCGAGGAAATGCTATGATACATTTGTGTTATATTCTATTTATTTATTTGGTAATTACTTTTTATAACCAACATTTAAGAGATGTGCCTTTTACATGATTAATTTAGAGGAATATTTCGTGCTGATTTGACCGCACAATTGATTATAAAATCTCCGACTCTCAATTGCTTAGGCCATTTAATTAAAATCTTGATCATATTATGTTCATGTAAGAATCAAATTTAATGTATTTATTTAATTACTAACATGCATTAATAAAATTGCTATTTTCTAAAGATGAGATTCTTAAAAACATTTATGAATAACATTTAATTAGGAACGAAGGGGGAGAAGACATACATAATACATTACATATTTGTTCTCTACCTTCCAATCAATGTTTTAAAATGCGGGGCGTGAGGCGAGGCGTTTTACCTCTGACGAGGCGAGGAGTAAGCCCTGAGACATGGGGCGTAAGTCCCACGGATCTTTAAATTTTACAGATTTTCAAGAATTTTAAGATAGTATAAAATAAAAAATAATTATAAAATTACATTAAAATCACAAAATTATAACAAATAATCTATTTACAATATTTATAAATTATAATTCAACTATGAATAATACGAAAAGTATGACATATATCATAATATTCAAATTAGCAGCAACGTCGTTACAACTCAAACATCAAAAGTAATGTATTCGATACGAAATCTTATATGTATCTGTTAAGGAGTAATGAATCTTGAAAGAATTTCGAATATTATAATTTGATATTTTTCTTAAAATACTCCTTTTATTTAATATGCTTTCTATTTGAAAGAGAATTTATATAAAAATATAATTCATAATTTAAATATGATTCTCTAGCATCATTTATTTTTAAGTTTCAACAAGTTAATAAAGTGACACCTAATTTACCATACAATACCATGATAACTAATTATTTGTAAATAGTTACTAGCTAATACTGACTATTAAATTAATAAGTATTGTATCTCGTAAACGTGAAAAAAAATGTTAAAAAATAGTTATAAAAAATTATGGACTATTATATATTAAAGACATAACAAAACTTAATAAATAAATACCTTTTAAATGAAAGATTTATTTAAAATTAACTATCATAGTAGTCTTAGTGGATAACGTGCAATAATTTTTATTTTAATTGTGACATAAAATACTCTCAACTTAATGATTTATGATTAAGAAAAAAGTAATTTTGAATAGTCAACGATTTATTAAGCAAATTTGAGAATTTACAAGGTTAATTACATAAAATTGCATAAAGTTCTATTAGGCGAGCCCAGTACGCTGGGCGTTGGGCGTGTTCGGAGCGTAAGCCCCGATGGCCAAGGCGTAAGTCTCACGGAACTAAGCCCCACACATAAGCCCAGGGGCGTTTTACGAGTGCTCCACCCCGGGGCGAGCCCCGGGCGAGTCTCAATTCTGCCTTTTAAAACAGAGCTTCCAATATGCCATTTTACTTATTTGAATTTATTTTTCTAATTCATCTTTTTCATATGTAATTTTCCTTATACATCTGTTTTGTTTATTTTATTCGCATGTTTGTCTAAGATTAAACCTTTTTTTAAAATATTTTGAGCTATAAATATTTTATGTTAAATTTACAAAATGAATCATTGATCAATTACCTAGTTCAAATTTCAAAATAAATTGTGAATATTAGTAGTAACAATACCAAGCATATGAAGGAAAGCAACTTGAGTAGTCTTGTTTATCAGATTATATTTGGTGTTAGTATTACAGCTCATTTTGCCTGCAGAATTACAAAATAAATGATTTTTCCTATTATCTGGGTGCCCTTTAAGGAATATTATTAATCATTCAAGTTGGTCCGTATGAGAGCTTACTAGGTGGTTAAAACTTGTTTGCTTGTCAAATAAATCTTCTTTGTGAAGGAGAAAAGGTCGGTTAGTAAAGGCTTTTATCTTATTCTGGCAGGTTAGTGTAGGCAAGAACTCACCCGCGTTGGTGTTTACATGAGAATACGTATTAATTTAGCGGAAAAGGGTCAAAATATCCTTAATTTATTCGAAATAGCTTAAAAATATCCCTACTGTCTATGTTTTGGACCATATATACCCTTATTAACTAACAGAATTCCACATCAGGCGCCGCCTCAGAAAAAAGGCCCCACTTTCTTTTTACCCTACCCAACCACCCTTTAGCCTGACCCGAATCAAACAGATCCCTAATAATCATTGAAGAACCATGCTTTGTTCATTTTCTCGGACCTTTGTGACGACCCAACCCGTCGTCTCATGTATTACAGCCCCGTTTCCCCCATTTATTGCTCTTTTCATGTTTTATTATCAGCAACGGGTGAGTTAGAGTTGAATTGAATTGGTTTGGATAGGAAATGAGACACTTAGTCTCTTTAAGGAAGGTTTGGTTTGGAAAAGTCAACCGAACGTTGACTTATTAGTTAGAAGGCTCGGATGTGAATTCCGGTGATTCGGTTAGCTTCGAGAGGTGATTTGTGACTTAGGAGTGCGATCGGAAGTGATTTTGGAGGTCTGGAGTAGAATTAGGCTTGAATTGGCAAAGTTGGCATTTTGGCGAATTCCGGTGGATAGGTGAGATTTTGATCCGAGGCTCGGAATGGAATTCCGAGAGTTGCAGTAGCTCCGTTAGGTGATTTTGGATATGTGTGCAAAATTTCAGGTCATTCAGAGGTGTTTTGGTCGGGTTTTTGATCGAATGCGTAATTCGGAAGTTTTTAAGAAACTTAGGCTTGAATTCGATGTGATTTGATGGCTTTAGCGTTGTTTGATGTGGTTTGATGATGGGAACAAGTTTGAATGAGGTTTTAGGATGTATTGGTGTTTTTGGTTGAGGTCCCGGGGGCCTCGGAGTGAATTCGGGTGGTTAAACGGAGAATTCGGAGTTTGTTGCAGGTTTGAAGTTGCTGGTTCTGTCATTTCCGCATCTGCGGAAAAGGGACCGCATAAGCGGTTCCGCAGATGCGGCGTATTGGTCGCAGAAGCGATCCTTGAGGGACCAGGGCTTTCCGCAGAAGCGGACGAAGTTCCGCAAAAGCGGTCACCGCCAGAAGCGGTTTTGGGACCGCAGAAGCGGTCCTGGGCGACTTGAAGGAAAACCGCAGATGCGGTGATTAGGCCGCAGAAGCGGAAACTGCAGAAGCGGTGAAATTGTCGCAGAAGCGAAAACAACTGTTACAGAAGGGTTTTTTTTTATATTGTTTTCATCCGCGAACAAGAGTTGGTTTCCACCATTTTAAAGCGGTTTTGAGAGCTTTGAGCGAGAATTTTCGAGGGCTTTGACTGAGAATCAATTGGAGGTAAGTTCCTTGGTCTAAATATTCGAGTTTATGGTAGAAATTACATGTAAATTGTGGAAAATTCATCAAAAAACGGGTCAAGCTAGGGCTTGAAAAGTTGTGATGTAAAAACGGATTTTGAAAGGGCATTTGAACTCCGATTTTGGTAAAATTGGTATGTGTAGACTCGTGGCGAGACGAGGAATCCAGTGATGTAAATTTCGTAATTTTTCAAGAAGTGGGTCCGGGGCTCGGGTTTTGCCAACTTAGTGAATTTTGTTGTTTTTCGATTGGGTTATGTTTCTTTAGCCTATTGTAATGTATTCGTTGTGGTTTTAATCAGATTCGGCATGCTAAGAGGTTGATTCGAAAGGCAAAGGCATAGCGAGCTAGACTTGTGGCCGGCTTGAGGTGAGTAATAGATGTAGATGATGACCTGAGGGTTTGAAATCCCGGTATATCACATTGTGACGCTATATTGAGGCGAGACACGTACTCTATGACGAGTGCGGGGTCGATTGTGACTGGGATTTTGACCTAGTCCGTTCCGATTGATGTTCGTACTGTGTTCTTGACTAGAAATTGTTTGGTAATCATCCTACTTGGATTTTTATGAATATGTTTTGGGCTTTGTGCCTATCATTTGTATCCTTTAGGGATCCTTATCACTGCTTCCATGATACTTAGCATATTTCATGATATTAGTCCTGAGTTAGACACCGCCTTGAAATGTTTGTAAATGAATAAAGGTTACACACTTAGCTCTATAATTCCTAATAATTGAAACTAAAAAAATGGACAATTTGACTGTGCCTGAGTGGCTTGCATGCATATATATATCTGGACTGAGTGTGGATCGGGCTGCACGCCGCAGCGAATGTTACAATAATATTGCGCTTGGGATGTAGGAGCCCCTCCGGAGTCTGAACCCCCACAGTGAGCCCGGGTACCCAAATGGATCGGGCTGCGCGCCACAGCGGTCATGTGCATTGCATTGCATTCATGCATTTATACCTATTTGTCTTACTTGTCCTGGTATTGTTGTTGTTCCACCGTTTTATGTGCTGAATCGCTGATTATAGCTTTATATTGTAATATTTCGGAATTTCTTACTTTCAGCCATTATATATGTTTATTACTCACTGAGTTGGAAGTACTCACTTTACTCCCTGCACTGTGTGTGCAGATTCAGGTGCTCCGGAGACTTAGTGGAACTGTTTGCTGTCTTCTTGGATTTTATCTTCAGGAGTTGTCGAGGTAGCTGCCTGACGTCCGCAGGACCCGACTCCTCCCCTTTGTTTCATTTATTTTTTTCATATTCTAGACTTCTTTATCACTATGGATATATATTACTCTATTACATCTAGAGGCTCTAGACTCGTGACTCCAGATCTATTGGGGAATGTTTGGAATATTCGTTATTATTTTTCGTACTATTTTATTTTGATTCGGATTGGAACCTTGGCATTTGCTATTTTAATCGTATTATTTGTTAACGGATTACGTATTTGGGTTGAGAGTATTTAATTGGCCGGGCTTGCCTAGCATCAGTGTTGGGCGCCATCACGACCGGGATTGGGGTCGTGACAACCTTTTCTTTTCTCTGCAGAGTTTAGAAAGAAGCAGGTGAAAGGGTGGTTGGGTAGGGTAAAAAGAAAGTACGATTTTTTTTCTGAGGTGGCATCTAATGTGGAATTCTGTTAGTTAATAAGGCTACATGTGGTCCAAAATATAGACGGCGCGGATATTTTTCGTACCAAAAACAAACGGAGGGTATTTTTGAGCTATTTCAAATAATTGAAGGTCATTTTTGACCCTTTTCCGATTGATTTAGTAATTTGTTACTCATTCATTATATTTGTATAAATATTGGATGCAAATAAGACTTTTCATACTTAGCTACAAAAGTACATTTTGTCATATTAGAGATGAAATCCAACACTACTTCTATATTTGTAAAAAACAATAATTGGTTTAACAATGTAATTGTTGTGTTTTGAAATGAGGGACGAATTTTTTTTATATAATCGGAGTAAAATGAGGGACCAACTCAAATGTTCAAAGTTTGTATAGAATATTAGAATGTTCAAATGTTTTGGTGAAAAAACCAAAAAACTGAAACCGCACTACCCAATTTCAGAATTTCATGATTGATCCGTCAAACCTTCATTACATTTTCTTTTGTGGAAAAACAAGAACTTTACTCTATAGTAATATGGAATGCAACTTCTTCTTTTTTTCCAGAAAAAATAATCTACTCCTTTCGATTTTACCCTTTTATATTGGAGACAAAGTTTTACTTGATTTCTATTTCGCAAAGAAAAAAAAAGAAACTAACAGGATGGTTGTTATGTATCGTTTCATAATGTATCGTATAGTATTGTATTATATTATATTGTATTCTATCGTCTTAATGTATGCAATGTTTGGATAAATCGTATTATTTTCCGTCATTTCATGATGTTATGCACCAACAATATTAAGAATAAACTTGCAATATTATAAAGAAAAAGTAAGGTAAGAGGTAATATTATTATATAAAAAGGTCTGGTAAAAGATAAGAGTAGGATTTTAATAATAAAAAGGGGAAAAATGAGAGAAATAAATAAGAAAACGATGCCACCACACCAAATTAGTCGTACCATAAAGTAATATTTTTCGTCCTTCGATACAATAAAATTTAAGTAATAATCAAAACAAACATTGTATTTAAAGGGACAATACCAGATAATACAATAGGTAATAAAAAGAAAAAGGAGTTGGAAGAATTAGAATATTTCTTCTTCAGATATGTAAAACATGAGAAAGAAGTAAAATGTTTCCCCAAAAACAACTCATTTTTACTCAACTAGTAAGTCTTTCTTCTCTCTTACAATTTCGATCAATACTTCTTTGTCTACGTAATTGAGATAACATGTGTAGAATTAGCTCAACAGAATACAATTTGCTATGTTATTGGCAATAATTGCAATTTCTTCAGAAAGATCAAAACTTTCTGTTATGTCTACATAATAGCCTGCAGTTTCCCATTTATTTTTAATTATTTCGCCCCTGATTTAAGAATTTTAGTTGGGTACTTGAAGATTATATATTTCCCCTTGATAAATGTTTAGTTTTTCTGGAATTTGTGTTCTGTTTAATTGCTGCTAAACTTCAGGAGCTTTCATAATGGGGGAAAGGAAGCTGTATGATGCTTAATTCAGATATAATTCGGTTCTTATTTTTAACCTTCGATGGTTCTGGAATTTCTGGTGTTGAAAATTTGTTATGAAGAATTTCTGGGGTTAAAGTTATTGTGTTGCCCACTTATTGAAAATGAAAAGAAGAACTTAATTTGTCTTCAGGGATTGGAGCAAAGGGGTTTCAGGCTTAAATTTCTAGGTTTTGAGGTTACTAATGTTTGTAAATATAAAAATGTTTTCTTGCTTCCAGTCTAGTTGAATGGATTTGCATTCTTGTGTCCATATTGCATGTTGACACCTTTTCTTTTACAATTTTATAAGTTTGAAAATGGGCTGTGAAGAAGCAAGTACTTGCATCATTCTGTCACACATTGTCCTGTTTGATTGATGCTCTACTAAAATAGCTGCGAAAGCTATTTTTCGACCAATCTTATTCCTTGCAGCTTGCAAGGATTGTTAGACTTCTTTGCAAGTCTGCCTACACTGAAAATTCACTTATCTGTTTGTTTATCTCAGTGGATGTGCAAATTTCAGAGGACAATGGTGCTAGAAGAGTAGAATCGTCTGCAGTAGGACAAGTTAGTACATCTGAAGCTGATAGAACCCAAGAACCATATGACGGTATGACATTTGATTCTGAAGAAGCTGTCAGAGCATACTACGATGAGTATGCTGGACGTGCAGGATTTATAACCCGTGTTCTGTCATCTCGCAAGTCAGAGCGTGATGGTTCAATTATATCACGTGGACTTGGTTGTAGAGGGGTACCAGATAATCAAAGGTCAGGAAGTTTTACAAATCAAAAGCGAGATAGACGACGTGATGGTTGTACGGCGATGATCCTAGTCAAAAGAGAGAAGCCTGGTATGTGGGTGGTCAGAAAATTTGTTAGGGACCACAATCACCCCTTGGTTATTTCACCTTCCAAGAGACGTCCAACTTTCGTAAGCTTCGTAGTCTTACCTTTGCATTAACATGTAATGTTAGTTTTTGTTTCAATAACCTTAACCTCTCTCTTTTATCGTGTCTTCTTGAGCCGAGGGTCTATCGAAAACAACCTCTCTGCCCCATCGAGGTAGGGGTAAGGTCTGCGTACACACTCCCCAGACCCCACTTGTGGGATTTTACTGGGTTGTTGTTGTTGTTGTTGTTGTCTGTCTTTTATCGTCTTTGGGATCCTTTTCTGCTAATTTTCTTCAGCCTCCACAATGAGATATCCACTTTAGATGTGTTTGTTTGTATGCATGAGGCATTAAAGAATCTGTTGATTTGTCTGCCCAATCTCTTTAATAGTCCTTTTAGTAAAAAAAACCTAGAGGTCCCAGCTCTTTTTCTGAATTTTCAAATAAGGATGCCCCTGTAAAAGTCAACTGTTCAAGAAAGCTTGATTTGGTATGTTCAAAGGACTGCCGAAGGTTATCGCAGTAGCATTACAATCGTGAACTTTCCATTTTTCACCAGTATTTTGTCTGGGTTGTCAAAATTGGACTTAGTATGTGCCGTCTCTGGTACTACTCATATCTGCTTAAGCAACGGTTATTTTGCTTCGAATCCAGTTTAACGCAGAAAGATATATATTAAATGCATTGGTAAATGGTCTCAGACCGAGACTCTCAGCAGTATAACATGAGAAAGATTCTTAAATTTTTTATAAGTACATGAGATTGTGGTGCATCTTGGTCAGTGGTGATAGTGGATAAGATTGACGGTCTGTGACTGTAAAATCTATTTGTAGGTGCTTCCGTCACTTTTTGTTTATCTTTAATCACCGATATGAAAACTTTTCCTTTTTTCAATTTTTCCATTTTTAAAATCTTTTCACCTTTCCCATGCTTCTTGGTAGGGACGAAAGAAGTGAAAGTGAATGAGAAAATATGATTATAGTTAAAGAAAAGATAAAGATATGGAAAAAGGAAAGTTGCTCTAACCTTGTGAGATTATAAAGTGCCTTCATAGAATCAATTCTGCTAGTTTGCAGGGTTTAGTTATAGAGAGGAAATTGGTGGTTATTTCTATGCATAATACATGACTAAGTATCATAGTAAACTGATGTGGTTTGACAAGAGATTAGTTGGATAGGTACAATGCACAAATTGACTAATAGGTATTTGACGAACTTATATAAGAATTGTTTTCACCTTTAAGCAGTCAGGCAACTTGGAGCCAACTTCTGCAATAACCAATCACTGATGATTTCCCATTTTACAATTTTCTAATCTAAATTACACGCGCCTTATCATCGTTTTGTGTGGTATTTTTATTATTTTTAGTTATTTTCAGGTGATGGCATTTGTGCTTGGAAGTAATATTCAATCATTTAATGATTACTAAGGTTTGTTTGTGACCGTCATAAATTGATCCGGCTGTGTAATTCTTGTAGGATGAGAAAGATAAAAGAATTCAGGAATTAACAGCAGAACTTCGGATCAAGAAACGACTAAGTGCAGCATACCGAGAACAGCTCCTTAGTCTCATGAAAGACGTGGATAGCCATAGTGAACATATGTGTACAAAAGTTCAAGCTGTTCGTAGAATTCTTAAAGAACTTGAAGCTAAAAGAAAGGAGCTTTCAAATCATAGTAGACACCATAAGTAGGGTAAGTATTTTTGTTTTTTAATTGATACATTCTCTCTAACTTGTCAATTTTAGCATATGTGCTCATTTTCAATGCAACTCCACTTTTTGAGTTTCACATAACATGGCCTATTGCAAACCTTGAATATAGGAGTGTTGAGTAGGTTGTAAGCAACGTAAAAAGCAGTCTATCCTCTGAGATTGTAACCAATTTATGTGCAAACAATTCATTTTCCCCCGTCATTGAGCTCTCTATGAATTCCCGTTGCACCTGTTATTTCTTTCTTAATTTTTTGGATGGTAAAGTAAAGAATTTCAGTGCATCTCTACTGCTGTAATTCATCTGAATTGGGACTTCACTTGTTAGAAACAGTAAAGTATGTGCGTTCTTTGTTTTTGGCCCGTGATGCAGAACATCTATCTGTTAAGTGGGAAGATCGGTTAAGTCATTAGCATTGTAAACCCTCAGAATTTCTGGTGGTATACATAAGGGCGTCAATCTCTTTCAAGACAACGCAAAACTAAGCTCTTTATCCTTTTTATTAAAATTGGCGTGGTTCAAATCTTTAAGAGAGATTAATGCAAAATTAAGCTCTCAATCAAAAGAAGACAGAAATTTCAACTTCGCGGCCAACGGATAGAGGGTTGCCCAACTGCTGCCATTCCCAAAATCAGAACCTCCCAGTACGCATTTCTCTTTGATTTGAAATTAGTATTTTCTAGATTTTTTTTTTTTTGATGAAGTCTATTTTCAAGAAACTCAATACTGGTGATTCTATTTACATGTTAAAGACCTGGACATGCACACCCTTTCCAAAACCTCCGCAACAACCTGAATCTTGATTTGTGACTTGTTCATTGTCTTGCATATGCAGAAAATCTAGCACTAGTGTTGCCACTTAGAATTTTGTACCCCTTTTGAAGGAGATTATGATGGAACTGGTTAAAGCCAAAGGTGGTGTAACTGAAGTCATGAGTTGAAAGCTGATATAAGTTTGTGCTTTTTACTGGGCAGCGGCTTCTAAGTTCTAACGAAGAGGATGGGTGCAGCCACTAAGCAATTCAAGAGAGAGGAAGATTTTGTCAAAGAAATTTTCGTAACTTTTTTTTGCGTAGATTGATGTGGGAATCTCTAGATTGAACCCCTGGTACATGATTTCTGTTTTTAGTCTTACAATTTATTACACGCACGAATGAGAAGCCTGTTCAGAAGTTGTACTACCATATGTTTTATATTAGGATGATTAGAAGGGTTGGTTCTTGATTATATATGCACCTTACTGAAGTTGGTATTTCTTGATTTCTTATGCATTCGAATTTAATTGAGATTTTCAAATTTCTGTTTCTCAGAAAACTTGATCATAGGGTTTTTAGTTCTGTTAATATTCATCTTGTCTTGCAATATAAAAGAATTTGAGACATCAATTGAGATAACTTTAAATGAAAGAAATCTCACTTAAAACTATTGGAAATTTTAGAGAAAGAAAAATGTTACATGCAAGTAACAAGAAGAAGAAGAAGCTACTTCAGGAGCTTAAATAAGCTTGAAAAGAAAGCAATGGAGCTCAGTGAATATAAATGCATGTACTGATCTGATTGCTTATTAATACAATGTACAAGGGTTACTTAGAAACAAATATATTAATGTAATTTTAAAGCTGAATATGTTGCCGGTTCACAATGCTAACGTAACTTCCTTCAGGTTGTATCGAACAAAATTTTATTACAAAAAAAAAAAAAAAAAAAAAAGAATCAAAATAAATAGCTCTCTGCAAAATGCTCCTGTTAAGTGATCTCTGAGTTGGCAAGTTGAGTTGAAATAAAGGTTAGAATGTAGATTATTTGAAAAACAATATGCATATAATGTACATGCGCAATAAGAAGATCGTGATTGAGAATAATACAAATTCAAACTCACAACCATATTCTCATCCAAACTCATTTACAAATCGAATTGTGATAATAAACTGATATTGGTTGCGTAAAATTTTGCACAGTTACAGGATATAGAACATTGAGTATTAAACGCTAACAATGATGTTTACTTGGTGATACAAGTACGACATATGAGTACGAGTTGAGACGAAAAAAAAAAAAAAAAAAAAAAAATCTAAATAGCAGCCCACTCAATTACTTACACTAAAAATAGTCAGCAAATATATAATATATAATACAGTCAAACCTCTTTATAACAGCCTAGTTTGTTCCGAATATTTTTGGCTTTTATAGCGAATGGCCGTTATACACCTATAACAACCTATAACGTTTAAATATTTTTTGGCTGTTATAGATAAAACTTATCCAAAAGTCAATTATTATTCTTATTTTAATGTTACATATAAAAGATAAGAAAATTCTTCAAATTTAAAATCTCAGAAGATATGCATATTTCACTAGGTATATATTTAAGAAGCTAATACTAGTATATTATTAATAAATTCATTTACTAAACGTACAAAGATTTAAACTTTAAGGCACACATTTTAAATCTACTAGGAAAATAAATTCTTTCAAGATTGACGGAAGAACTTTGTAATTGTAGTTGTTTCGTAGATTTCATTCTCTTACTACCAATATAACGCTTGAAATGGCGAAGACCCATGTCCAAAGTTTCAGCAAAAAGGTATCCAATGGGAAATATATCATGTGCAGATCTTCAAATCTTATGTCTTATGCAAGATATAAACCTTGTTCAATGGAAAAGATTGTATGCATATACTTAGAATTACTATTAGTAATCACTACTAGAATTCCTGCAAAAAGCGACCAAACTTTAGCGACCAACGTTGGTCTGTTAAGAAAGCGATCAAAGTTGGTCACTAAACTGGTGAAAATAATAAAATAATAATTTTAAATAAATTAGCGACCATCGTTGGTCGCCACTTGGTCGAAAATTTTGTCAAACTGTTGACCGGACTGGTCAGACTTGCTTGGTCAAAGAATTACTCAGATTAGCGACCAACGTTGGTCGCTTCATGGGACCCACCTACTAAATTTTAATAATTATAATATTATTTTTAAAAAAATAATAAAATATAAATAAATAAAATTTAACATTAGCGACCAAAGTTGGTCGCTATATAAAGAGTAAACAGATGGAGACCAACTTTGGTCGCTAATTTGGGACCCAGTTATAAAATTTTAATAATTATAATTTTGTTTAAAAAAATTATAAAATATAAATAATTATAATTCAACTTTAGCGACCAATGTTGGTCGCTCAGTATAATATAGACCAACTTTGGTCGCTAACCTGGGACCCAGTTAATATTTTAAAAATTATATGAAAGATAAATAAATCTGATTTAAATTTAGCGTCCAACTTGGGTCGCTAATTTAAAATTATGTATGTTTAGCGACCAAAGTTGGTCGCTATTTAGGTCACCATTGGTTAAAATTAAAAATTACTTTTGTATTTACTAAATAAATAATATAAATGTTAGCTCGTTAACACTTTACTAAATATATACTATACACTTAGTGTGTATATATATATATATATATATATATATATATATATATATATATATATATATAGTATAAAATCCTAAATTTATACTATATATGTACATAATTTTAAATTGAAACTAAAAATAATTTATTTTTGTTTATATATAGCGACCAAATTTGGTCGCTATTTTCGTCAAACGGTCAAAATTTTGCGACCAACTTTGGTCGCTATTTTGGTCAAAATAGTCAATACTTATTGGCTACCAAATATAGCGACCAAAGTTGGTCGCTATTTTAAATCCAGAGTCAAAATCGGTTAGCCCTCCCAATGTCTTATTTTCTTACCAAAAATTTCCCAAACTCTCTCTCAACATAATCTCCTCCCCTTCTTATTTCCCTTACACAAATCAATCCCCCCCCCCTAGCCACTGTGCCGGAGCCGCTACCGCTGCTACCACTGTCGCCGCTACCACTGTCGCCGAGCCGCCGCTACCAACTATCGCCGGAGCCGCTGTCCCCCACCCTTTCCACCACTGCTTTTTAATCCTCCTTTAATCTACCAAGGTTAGTAATCTTACTTCTTAGCTTTTTTGATTTTTAATTTTGCTAATATAATTTTATGTATTTTTCAGAATTTTTGTCTATTTAGTATTAGGGTTTTTGGTTTGAACTACATTAGATTTATGAAATTAAGGTAGAAATTATGATCTTTTAGTTCTTGTATTAATTTTTATTGAGTTAAATTGTGAAAAGAAACAATTCATACATTAGCAATACCTAAATAAGAGTACTTGTAAATACATTGTCCTAAATAAGAATACATTATGAATACTTGAATTAACTAAATTAATTTGTTCTTGCTTTATTTATATAGATGGAACATCGTACTTGGATGTACAATAGAAATTATCCTAATCGGCGGGGATTGCGGGAGGATTTTGTAGAAGGCGTTGATGAATTTATTAGACATGCAATGTCACTTCCGCCATACATAAATGAAGGAGTAATTAGGTGCCCTTGTGTTAGGTGCGACTGTATGAAGTTTGAAAAACCGGAGGAAGTTAATGTTCATCTTTATAGTAAGGGGTTTATAGCGAATTACTTTGTGTGTACTAGTCATGGAGAGATCGATGGTAGCCATGGGATATTTCATAACATGGTTGTGGGTGAAAGTAGTAGGTCGGTGGAGAATACAAATCGTGATTCTAGAATTCATGATATGGTTGCGGATGCTTTTGGGATGCACTTTGGGGTGAGCCCAATGAAAATGTTGAACAAACTCCTAATGATGACGCAAAACGTTTTTATGAAGCTTTAGAGGAAGCTAGTCGTCCACTACGTAACGGAAGTCCGCACTCTGAGTTGTCTGTTGCAGTTAGATTACTAAGTATGAAATCTGATTAGAATATTTCTCAAGGAGCATGGACTCTTTCATTGACCTTATGCGTGAACTAGTTGACCCTGATATCGAATTACCTGGTGATTTCTACAAGGCAAAGAGATTAGTTTCTAAGTTAGGACTTCCGTCAATGAGAATTGATTGTTGTGAAGATGGTTGCATGTTATATTATAAAAGATATGCAGGTTTTGACAGTTGTAAATTTTGCGAAAAGCCTATTTCAAGAGGCTTTCCAGTTGGAATATGGTCACTATCAAGTCGATGCATTATTTACCTCTTATACCTAGGTTAAAGAGGTTATATGCGTCGATGAGTTCCGCTCCTCATATGAGATGGCACTTTGAAAATAGAAGACCACCTGGTGTTATGTGTCATCCTTCAGATGGAGAAGCTTGGAAGCACTTTGATAGGACATATCCAGATTTTGCTAGTGAACCAAGGAATGTTAGATTAGGTTTATGTGCGGATGGCTTCACGCCTTTTTCTGTATCTACCACACCATATTCATGTTGGCCTGTCTTTCTTACACCTTATAATCTACCACCCGAGTTGTGCATGACTAGTCCATATATATTCTTCAATTGTATTATCCCGGTCCACGTAATCTGAAAAGTTTGATTGATGTATATTTGCAACCTTTTGATTGATGAGCTAAACAATTGTGGTACGATGGTGTTGAAACATATGACATATCAACCAAGCAGAATTTCATTTTGCGTGCTAATTTAATGTGGGCAATTAACGATTTTCCTGCGTATGGAATGTTGTATGGGTGGATGACTGCTGGGAAGCTATCTTGTCCTTACTGCATGGAAAATAGTAAAGCGTTCACTTTGAAATATGGCCGAAAGCAATCATGGATTGATTGTCATCGTCAATTCTTGCCTCCTGATCATGAGTTTAGAAGGATGAAAAATGCATTAAAAAAGAATAAAATGGAGTATGATTTCCCACCTCCGATACTTTCAGGTGAGGAAATTTGGGAGAGGGTCCAGAACTTCAGTAAAGTTACTGAAGCTCCACCTTATAGATTCCCCGGATACGGTGTTACTCATAATTGGACGAAACAGAGTATATTTTGGGAGTTGCCTTATTGGAAGGATAATCTTCTCAGTCACAACCTTGATGTCATGCATATTGAGAAGAACTATTTTGACAATTTGTTCAACACAGTGATGGATGTTAAAGGTAAGACAAAGGATAACCCGAAGGCTAGAATGACTTACAAGAATATTGCAGGCGTCCTGAATTATACTTGCAGACAGCAAACAATGGTAAGGTGTTCAAGCCCAAAGCAAGTTACACATTCACTTTGGAGGAAAGACGCAAATTTGTGATTGGGTAACGAAATTGAAAGATGCCTGAGGGTTATGCGTCGAATTTTGGGGAAAAAGTTGATATGGAGGTAGGGAAGTTGAGCCATTTGAAAAGTCATGACTGTCATGTTTTTATGGAG